CTAAATTTCAAAATAATAGTAATAATAGTTATATAATATTATATTAAAAATTATGAATTCAATACAATATAGTAATAATCGTAATAGTTGAATTATTTCTAAATATGTTTTGTTTTTCATAGATGTGAAAACTTTATACAATATGCAATCGTCTATTGTATGCCACGGGGATTATCGGTGAGTAAAAAGCATTAAAAGAAACTATCCAAATATTAATAATATTTTATATATTTTATAATATGATATCATTTTTGTTTAAAAAAAATGAATTATCTCATGTTAAGTATACTTGTATGTTATAGTGTTATACATATATAATATATATTGATATTTGATATACCTAAACTTGAATGATATTAAATTAATTTTGATGCAGGAAACGTACCTATAATATTAATTATTATTTAAATTCGTTGGTGATCTTTTTAGTAAATATTTCTTGTGCAAAAGAAAAATAATATTTAGAGCTAATTTTATGGTAACCCAACAACAAAAACAATTTATTTGACTTAAAAGTACCGCCTACATAATACCTTTTAAACTTATAACAACGCATGACCAAAAGTTATAAGTCATAACCATCACGGTTTACGTGAAATGATTCAGGTACCTATTCATACATAATTAACTATTCAGCCTTTCTAGAGCAGGGGGCGTAAATCTTTTAAAATTTAGATGAAATGTCCTTCCTTATCGCTTAAAAGGCTGAATAGCACTCGGGAGAGCATTTAACTTGTAAATAACGTTAAATTGTATTCGTTTCTCGATGTTCGAATCAACAGTATAATCTCATAATCCAATGTGCAATAAAACGTTTCGCTTTCTAGATTTAACAAGGTCTTAAACCAAAATAAAATAAAATAGCTGGAAATACCATCCATATGATGGAAGCGTTCGGGTGAATATTCTCTGTTCTGGTGAAAAAGATTCAAAATAAATTCGTAAGTATCAATGATACACCATATAAAAACGATTTAATCTACGAGACGACAAATTTTTAAACTCCATGATGTAATATTACATATTTTATTAAAGCTATATGAAATGAAAATACCATGTTATTATGATAATTTTAGTAAAGTCACAGGTATTACGTCGCCACGTTAACTGGAAATGTTAAGAAAATCCTGCTCAATATAGATATACGTTTCTCGCGTATTAACTCGACTCTTATTATATTCTTTTAATTCAGTAAAAACAAATATCACGTTAAAATCAATCGACCTTTTTCTCTGTATATATCACACCAGAATACCTGGTATAGGTATAACATAAAATTATTCCCACGATACGATTTTCCGCCACTCCGTGAATCCGATATTATGACCGAGACACAGGAGACACAGGACTTTTTTTTCGGTATACAATTATTTGTTGTGTGAATCCTGGTTACTATTCTTCTCATCTGCCTCTATTCGTATATGTTTTTTTTTTCGAAAACAATATTAATATATTTATGTAAGAGTTCCCCAATTGATATTCAAGATAAGGCCATAGATATGTGTAGTTGACTTAATCTGATAACAAAGAGGGTTGAGCTAAATAGGCTGAACTTTAAAAACACGTAAGTATATTTCATGTATTTAAATTATTATTTTCAAGCGATCAATAAAAATACAAAAATAACAACATATAACACGACATAAAGTTATAATTATTATAATTATATTATAGCCTACGTAGAAATAATCGTAACTCTTTTAATGTTTTACTACAACAGTGTTTGAATTATGCCCACTCGTCATACTACAATGTAATAATAATAGCATAATTATATGTATATTAATGTGTTGAGAAAGTTGAAAATTATTTTGCCTTATCTGTAAGTGGGCAAGTCAGTGATATCGTTTTTGTCTTATGCAACATTATTATTTACGTGGCTTAGATATATCTTAAAATTTTGATGATAAAAACAAATTATTATTTTCAATTCAATCCGTTTTAAATTATAATTAAATGTTCAACATCGAAATTATTTCACTTCATATTTTAATAAAATGTATCCATATGACCAATACATAATAAGAACCATTTGTTTTACTTTTGATATTAAAATGCACGTGAAAAAGCTTATACTACTGCAATGACCACAAATTAGTTATTACATGTATGATTATATTTAATAAGTATCGACTATTTCCAACCATAAAAAAGTATTACAGAGCATTTGAAATTAAAAAAAAAATGGAGCTAAAGAGCTCTTCAGTCATTTTGATTGTCTATAATAACTATAAGCGGTAAACAAAATAGGTTAAGGTTATCTCAAAGTTTTATAACTTATTTTTTAATCTTGTATAGGGTGAGAAAATTATTGATTTTAGTTTTCAGCGGAGAGAACTTTTTTGCACGCCAACTTATATTTTTCTATCCATAGAAACTAAATTGTTTTTATTTTATTTATTTACGTTAGGTAATATAAAATATTTATGACAGTTTGAAGTGCACGCGATGGAAATAATTATCTGATATTCAAATATTAACTATTTTTTCAAAAATATTATTGAAAATGTAATTATTTAGATAATATTAGAAGGTTTACTAAAACCTTCTCTAAATAACACATCCAAGTAGCAAATGTTTATTTTGTAAGAAACTATGAACTCTCTGAAACTTAACCCTCTGAAAAGTGGACACCTCCGAATAGTGGATAAAATTTCACTAATCAAGAGTATCCGGTTTAAGAAGTTTCACTATATTTAAGTAAGTACATTAAAATGTCAAGAATCAGAAGATGGTGAAACACTAAAATCTTTGATACTTTGATACCTACTTAAAAGAATACTGTAAAAATATAAAATACTGTATTGTATCGAAGAAAAAATAAAATATATTTTCGTGTGAAGTAAATTTAAAGGGACTTTATTTTTCTTCTCGTTACTTATGGAGTACTTACCTGGGTATAGACTTTCAATATTTATCGAGATTCAAGTAAAATTTTAGTACACTACTTCGATTTGACGACTTATTTCTATTATGTCGCACTGCATAAACTACCTTATATAGTACAACAAACCATAAAAGGTGGCTTGGTGTGGCGCGGTCGTACGCTTAACCTGCGGCAACACTGAGCGTACGTACCGGTGGTTGTTTCTAGCACTCGGATGGGTGACCACTTGGGTTTTTAGCAACATGTCCTTGTCACACATATAAATAAATGTTTCAAATCAACAGTTCCTCCTACAGACAGCTAATCACCATAGTTTCAGAGCTAATAAACAGAAAAAAAAACCATAGAAGTTAAATTTTTTTTTATTAATCATAAATATTTTATAGGTATCTACTATTAAATCAGTACAGTGATGGGTTGAGGGAGCTATTCCAATATTTTTGCAATGATAAATATATGTATTTTATAATGTATTCGGAACAAACACTTTTTAACGAAATAAACAAGCAGTATCTACCTGCCTCTAAAGATTGGAAATCGAACACAAGGTATAAATGTATAATAGAAGAAGAATTATTCTTCGAATTTCTCAAATATTTATTTTAGTTGAGAAAAGCAGCAAATTAAAACTCGGTAAATACGAACAATCGAACGTTTTTAGTATTATCTAATAATCTAGACCAACTTTTTTGTAACGGTTAATAGTAAACCTATAAACCTCTAAGAATTTCAAAACTAATGATTTATAATCATTCTTTATACTAAGTAATGTAATTTAAACACTCACTCAAGTGACCCACTAGTTTTCTGTATCACTATTTTTTCTATTTTAAAATGCTGTTCTGAATGAATAAATAATACCTACAATGGTATATATAATAATAATATTATAAAATTAATATATAATATTTTAGTTCATAATAAAATTTGCTTAAACTTCAGAAATAGATAACGAAAAGCATTGGTGGTGTTATAATAATTACTCATTACTATTTACTATGTATATTTAACTTTACATTTTTATAAGAAATATTTTTTAATAAATATCACATGTCGTGTCAACTAATATTTAGCGATGACATAATATGAATTATAATTTACTAGGTGGTATAATACATATATAATACTACTACATCTATGGACAATGGATAACCAACAGTGAATATTGGGCATGACAGCCCCGCCATGGGCGGTGTCACTATCATTATTTTGTTTTTGTTTTATTTTTAATGTAATTATACTAATAATATATGTTCAAGTCCGTTAACAATTCTATATTAATTGTAATTAATTTCATCAATGGCACATCCCTTAATAGCATTCTAGTTGTATATTACGGTGTGTTTATCAATCAAATATAACCTTTATAAAGTACGCGAACAAATATATCCTACCTATACAGTTTGATGATTTTCAAAAAATAATGTATTTATGTGTGCTTTTATGTTTTTTATTTAAAAGGCAACTATCTATTAACATCGTCCTTAAAATGTAACGGTACCTATATTTATTTTAATTCAATTGCATGTAGTAAAGTTTTTGTTTCAAAGAGGAACAAGGCTTTTTTTGGATTTTTACAATAAGAACATTACTATTTTTTACTTTTCCGCTTTTTTCATATGCTCAAAAAATGTCATGCAACGCCTTAATGGTTTACGTGGAACACGTGTTATAAACTATATGAAAATTGGTGATTTTTTTTTCAATTTTCTTCTATTTTCCAGATAATTACAAGTACCTAAATCACGATATAAATTGAGTTGACTGTGCGCAGAGTAAACCGAGGTCAGGAGTGAACTATTTTACAGATTTAAAGATTTATCGTTTCTATCAAATTTAAAGACACACCCACCCAGTCACCGGCTCGTTCAACCGCATTACATAATTATGACCGTTGCAGTAGTTGTAATTATATACCATTCCGACAATTTAACACGTAAATAATATATCAACGAGGACGAATGCGGAGGATGGCAACGATCATTATAATATACTATTATATTGATTTATGTATACTATACAAACGACGTGTATAGAAAAAATCTCATAATCCATTTTAAGATTATACATAGTATTATATTATTATTATTACAAAAACAGTGCTTATTCTCACTTTGTAGTCCACCTGCAGTGATGGTGGTCGATCACGGTAATGCGACATCGGACCGTCGCCATCGTCGTCGTCTTCGCACGAACATAATATGATGTATACAACACGATCCCGCAAAAAAAAAAGATAATAATAATATTGCGTATTGTGCGTGTGCGGTATGATATTATTTTTTCACTACAGCGGATGATTGATGGACGATTAAAATCACGCTGCGAGATGGCTTAGTATAAATTTTCGTACTTATGAACCTACATAATATACATAATAATAAAATATAGGTAGGTAAGCGAAAGTCGCGATTGCCGAGCCAAGTCTCGCGCGAAATGTGTGACGTGCGATAAGGATCGGCACACCGGTCGTGTTACCTATTGTTGTAATGTTTTTTTTTTTTTAATATTTTGACGCGTCCGATTTTGAAACTTTTTTGTTTTTAATTCCTATCAGACGTCGCTCGATCGAGAGATCGTTTGACAGTCCTATCACGTTTCCGCGGGGAATTTCGATGACGACGATGTGTCAGCTAGTATATTTTAATATGTGCACCTACCATTAAGTTACCCACAAACCAATAACGTTATAATAATTATTACAACTTGCAGACGAGGTTGTTTATTATTGGGACGCGATTTTCCGAGAACGACCGCGAGCGAGACACCAACGACCTCGAAACATAAATGTTTGTACAATATCTTTCGATATCAGCTAGCGACGATTTATTCCCGCTGCGCGTTTCCGTCCACGCGACACCCGGCGACGACGCGTGCGATTCCGACCGAGTCACGTTGACCACTGCCGCCTTCGCAGCATTCGCCTCTCCGTAACTTCCCCGGCGGCCAAACGGGGCGCACTTGTTGAACGCCGCCTGCAGTGTGGAAGTTCGTCGCGACCGCGTGTGTTATGATGCGTGCTACTCGACAATAATAATAACAGAGTTAGAGTACATAATATTAGGTATATTATTATTATTGTTATTGTTACCGTGGATAAACCATGACCGTGGTCAGCAGACGATTCCCGAAAGGTGCGACGGCCTTACGAACAACGCACGCGTTTCGGGTACAGTGCTAACATAAAAACACGAGAGTCAGATAATATTGTAGAGTAAATAATATTATTAATACACTGTTAGCTCATCGCCAAATCGGGCGTGTATAAAGACATAAAGTTATAGCGGTCTTATCGATCTCTCCAAATTACTTTGGTTAAAATGTAAAGTTATTACATGGCATGCATTATGATACTTCCTTCAACTCAATATACTATATGCATGTTTTACCTATGTGATGATATTGGCGACTTATTGAGTTATTCGATGCAGTATAACCGACGACTCGAATTAAGATTAAACGAGAACAAAGTAATAAATTATATTACAACATTTCGACGAATTTGATGACTTTAAGTTTAATAATATTTATAAAAATAAGATACAAACAGAGCACCAGTCCAAAAGATATGAAAACATTATAATCAGTCATATAGCTGGGGCATTAATTGTTGTGGTCCGTTGGATATCTTCTATCGGCAAGTTTCGCCGTGTTGTAGTCTTATCGGACGAAATGTCAAAGTGGCGACAGCGTGTCCCTTCAGAGTTTCAAACGCACAAGTGCATTCACCAAAAGTCATCGGATGACCTTTTGACGTTCTCGTATTAATTTAATTATTATCATAACTACGATATCACGCATCCGCGAGTCGAGTAGTGTTCGTGTTATCAAAACAACGAAATGTAGGTTTATTTTACTTAAATCGTATTATTGTATTTTGTAGGTCGGACTTTACGCAAGACAATAATATATAATATACTATACACCTATATAGTACATTTGCCCAAAACGATTCTATATAGTATAATTCAACCATACCCCAACAATATATTCTTGTGTTCGTCTAAAACTGCATAGGTATCGTTTTCAAAGCATAATATTTTTATTACTATATGCCACCGTCAAAAAATCGATAAGCGCATTTATTTCCCTCGGGTGTAAAAAGCTATGTATATAGCATTAAAAATGCGCTTGACGACATTTAAAGTTTTGAATTTTGATTGTTGTAATAATTCTTAGTTTTCTACGTTGGAGCAAATATACAACAACAATCATATATATATATATTAAAGCTAACCGATTAAATGACAACGATCATTTCCTAATTAGAATTCCTCGTCAAATTCCTCGTCTACAAAATACCAATCAGTCGACTCCATACATACATCACATATTATTTTGTTCAATTGGCAACACAGTTTGGTCAATCTTTAATTATATGTGATTAAAAAGCCAATATAGCTACGGTTATTAGTTATTAATTATTATAATTGAGTTGATGAAGTATGACTTTGTCACTTTGAACTATAATAAGTTACACTATCTATTTACGAATAGTAGCATATCGTGGATGCAGAGGTTATTCTTGGGGGATTGAAACTTTTCAAATAATACCTAATATGTATTATTCTACAAATATAATTTTACCAAACTCAATGGTATTTAAAAAAAACATTTAGGTAGATTCATTTTAAGCTATTGGGCTATTGCCTTTATTTTTATACCGCAAACTTAGGTACTCCGCGCAACGGAAAGTCGGTATTGACTCAAAAGTTCATAACGATAATAATATACGATATAAATATATACTATTTTAAGAATATTAATATATTATAATAGCGTTTCCCTTAATTTAATTAAGAGAGGAATACTAGAAATGCGTCCCCCCGGGATGTCTACTTTTGAATAGTGTATTTGGATTTCGTTTTAATTTATTTCTAGCAAAATAATGGTTAGTGTTTCCAAGAAACGGTTATCGTCGTCCGTCGACGACAGTCGGATACGGTACCAACAATATTAATAATATGCACATGGTTGGTCGAACGTATATTTTTGTTTTCATAATAATTTTATTATACAAGTAATATTAATTAATACTGTTTACCCGGAAAATGGGTTATCGCCGATGAGGATCACGCACGTTACGAAATTTAAACATGAAGTCGAAATCCCTTGGCACCCGGAGTGTGTTGTTGCGCGTTGATTATTGTACAGTTCACGAGCCGCCTGGGATTGATGATGCGTATGCGATCCAACAATATTGTCGGTCTTCGCATCAAAGGAAATTGGAGCGGCACGTGGTACATGCACCGCGGTACACACACGTTCCGCGCCACGCGCCAATGATATTATTTTGTTTTGGTAATCGCGAAACCGATTTCGAGTGGACTCGCGGGCAACGCACGTCACACCGTCACATACTACGAGCCACTAAACCGGCGGCGTTTCCCGACCTTTTTACCGCCACGGACCACTTGGACAATATTTTGTGGGTCGCGGACCACCTAAATTTTACGAAAACTAGGAAGACCTTTTTTTTTTTTGCTCATTAACAAGAATACCAAGGAGAATACCTAACCGTATAATAATACGGTTCCTCAATAAGTCATGACGTTTTTTAATGTAGAAATCGAAGAAAAATGGTACCGCGGAAAACTGTACCGGTTGGGAAACACTGCACTAAACGATAAAATAAGTGTCTAAACATTGAAATGTTGTTGTGTTGATAGTTTAATTTACTATATGTGCAGAGGTGAGGGGAACTGAGTCTTTACTGTGCAGTATATCGGTTGGAAACGGTGTTTTTTGAATTAAATCCGTCCTCAATGTTTGTTCCGATTCAAGGACTGTTAGTAATATAGATTATAGGCGACAGACTGTCTCCGCTCAGAATCGTTTTTTAATTTACAATGATTTATCATCGTATACAAATTCATAGTGACACGTTCTCAATGACGAGGTACACTCAACAGCAAACGGTACTCCTAATCGCCCACTTTGAGATTCTCGATGGAGGGATGAGAATCGATTGATTTTACAATCATATGTTACAATATTACTAATTTTTTCGAGAATTCAAACGAATAAAAAACATACGAGAATGTGTTAAGTATATTTTTATTATAATCATAAATTGTCTGTAATATTTCGTTTTGTAGTGGTACAATCGCTAACAAATTTAAAACGACAATAACGATATTAAAAAAAATGTCAACTGTGCAAAAAGCCGTTAGAAAATATTTGTATGATCACTGATAAATATTTAAATATTATTAATCGAAGGTTAAATAATTTAATATAATAACCATTCGATCACAATGCATCATATTTTTATACAGACTATAGAACCTAATTGAAAACATAATATTATGGCGTGGCGGTTGGAAGCAGTGTATTTATTTCACGTTTTAGACCTATATAAGTCTGACAAGATTACGCGTGCTTAAAATAATCAGATTTCAATTCTGTGAAAAGATTTGAGTCGATTAACATTTTTTCTAGTTTATTGTGAAAATCAAATATTGATATTTTTTTTAAAAATTGTTTCTATATCTTATTTTGGTTTCTTAATTGTTGGTTTTAACTTTTAGATTTACTTTAGTGTTTTTTTTTTTAAAGTTAAGGTCCCCACACACTGCAGCGGTGGCGGTGAAAAGAAGTCTTGGCGGTGCCGCCGCCGTGTCGGTGAATTGTGTCCGGACTCATTTTACCGCCACCGCCACCGCCACCGCGACAGTGTGTGGGGACCTTTAAACAGTTATTCTAAAATCGACTTCCACAATAACCTAAAAAACAACGATAAGTACAAATATTTTTAGAGAACTGAAATCCGATTATTTTAAGTATGTGTATTCTTGTCAGGATTAGTCATTAGGTCTAGATTGATAAAAATTAATTTCCATATTGGAACAAAATATTTTACTTCAGCAAAATATGCAATGACATGTGCATGCACGTGAGAACCGCTAATTGTTTCCCGAAACGTTCGACACCGGCGTGCAATGCCAGCGTACCTAAATAGACTTATTATTATTCGAGGAACTCACCCACACAAATGATCAGTCACTACGCACACACTCGCACAGAAATTCCCAATGTATATATGGTATTGCCTATATTCAACCCCTTAAAAACGACCCGCTTTCAACAGCATTATGTGCACACAACAATGCCGACCGTTGGATGAAGTTGAATCGAAACTGTGCTGCAGACATGCAGTTGAACCGTTTGGCAAAAATACTCGTGACAATATTACACTGTGACGTTAAAATAATTAAAATGTGGTCCTGAAAATGACATGGTGCGTAATGTAAACACATTAATCGAAAAGGATCGAATACATTATATTTCGTACGAAAGATCTGTTGAATAACACTTGAAAACAATGTTGTTTAATTATTTGTGGATTCAGACGTACACTTTATTACACTCCGTACCCAGGCTTCGATTTCCTAACATGATGGCGGAATAACGTGATATGCTCTCTTGAAAATCGTTCTAACCGAAAAGTGGTTAGAAGCAGATAAGCGCTGTATACGCGCTTGCGCACAGACCGCTAATCGACAGGAACACGTCTTTCACGTCCTCGTACTAATCCAACGATTCGAAATATTATGTTAATTACTATCGAGGAGTAATATCATCGACTGGAGCATTGATTATATAATGGTTTGCTCAACGTCTGTGCCGTGATATCGTTCATCGTTTGCGCATCACCGGTCGATTATCGTTTGTAGTTAATTAATTATCGCTCATCATTCGTTCATCATTCATCAACATTCGTAGTATGGAAAAATAAAAGGATAATATTGAAAATAGTTAAAACCAAATCAGATAGTTCAAGAACTCTGTCATAGTTCACATACAATAAATATATCTACATTTATACCTACATAAATTTAAAAACGAATTGGCTCAATTCGATATGACTTTAGTCATAATTATATACATTTAAAATAATCATGGT